TCCCTGGGGCACAGGAACAGCTGATCCTTCAACAATGTGGGGGTGAGGGGGCAATGACCCCCAACACAAAAAACATTTGCATAAAACTTTGGACTCTCCCAAAACATAACTACCTATAGTTTACTGTTGACAGAAGCCTTACCAATAACAAAAAGTCAATTAACACATATTTTATGTCATCCTTATTACATACTGTATTCTTACAATAAAGCTAGAGAAAGGTTATTTAGAAAATCCATTTACAGTACTCTACTGTAAGAAATCTGTGTATAAGTGGACCCATGTAGTTCCAACTCATGTTGTTCAGGGGTCAATTATATTTTCAAAATGTATTCCTGATAAATGTGGTGTATAGATCTGGTTAAAAGGCACTACTGCTGGGGTGCCTGGGTGGCTCAGTCCGGTAAACATCCGACTTTGGTTCAGGTCATAATGTCATGGCTCGTGAGTTTAAGTCCCACGTCAGGGTCTGTGCTGACAGCTCAGCCTGTGCTCTCTTCCTCTCAAAAATAAACAAACAAGAAAAAATTTTTTAAAAAAAGGGCACTACTGCTAAGTTTTAGATGAGAATCTTTTTTTCCTAATCCTTTACAAATTAAAAGTGTTGTTCTCATACAAAGGAACGCAGAGAAAGATTAGAATGTTAATACTCACCAGTAGCATTAAAAAAATTGTTTTTAATGTTTATTCTTGAGAGTGAGAGAGCATGAGCAGAGGAGGGGCAGAAAGAGAGAGAGAGAGAGAGAGAGAGAGAGAGAGAGAGAGAGAGAGAATCTGAAGCAGGCTCCAGGCTCTGAGCTGTCAGCTCAGGTTCTGACTGCTCCACCTACCAGCCATTCCTGTATCTCTCGTCCTCAGGATGCCCTATTCCCTGAGACACAACAATACTGAAATCAGGCCAATTAATAACCCTATAGTAGCCTCTCAGTGTTCAGCTGAAAGGAAGAGTTGCATGTCTCTCACTTTAAAAACCAGAAATGATTGAGCTTAGTGAGGAAGGCATGCTGAAAGCCAAGACAGGCCAAAAGCTAGGCCTCTTACCCTAAAAAGTTAGCCAAATTATCAACTCAGAGGAGAAGTTCTTGAAGGAAATTAATAGAGCCAGACCCTCTCTTCAGTTCTGTGACAGCTAAGAGAGGT